GGAGCCCAAAATACGGACTTTTGGACTCGTATTTCGTGGGTTAATATTGCTCAAAAAACTCGGGGAAAATTCCTGTGAACTCTGTGCACTCTCTAGTTTCCAAAAATGCAAGAATTACGAATTGCTGAACAAGCTCATTTGCATGTTATTCCTGCCCTGTTCTTTGAAGGCGTCCTCTTAGCACCAAAAACACAAAATTGACTCATTGATACGTTCCACAAGAATAATTTTTTGCGGATTTTGGTGAAAGAAACACCCTTATATGTCAATCCAAACCGGAGGTCAAGTGCTGGTTTTTAGTTTGCAGTCCAGCATGCTAAATTTTAAGATCAAGTCTTTTAAAGGTCTGGTCTGCATTGTTCAGCGCTCACAGTCTGCTCTCCGTTGAAAATACCGGTTTGCGTTCTTCTTTGACACTAAAATTTTCTTTATCGCTCGCGAGATATCTTTCGGACGCCCGAGAGACTTTCCCATTGATAGCTCATACAGTCCGAATTTTTGACCCGTATTATTGAGGAAAATAGTGGTCCTAAAAAATTTGGCAACGTCCTTAAAAGGCCGTAACCGAACCGGAGTTTACATGTTACCTAAATATTGCGCATGGCAGCAAAGGAGGAGAACATCGAAGAGTGAGACTGCCTGTTAACGACTCATCCCTTATCAAGTGAAACTGCCATCCGATAAACATCGCGATCGTATTTTTGGAGTTTTTACACCGTTTCCTCGGAGCTGGGCCCTCTCGCTACAAAAGTGGCCCTTGTTCCAGTCGTAAACATAAACATCTCCTTTCCTCTGTAAACCGTCCGATTCGGGATGCGATTGCAATGAGGCAAAAATAGCATCAATTCATTGATCTTTCGACTTGATTCCTCTTGATTGGTATGTCCGGCTGTCGTAAATTCAACGCTTAGCACCGGGTTTTCACTCTTTTTCCGCGTTCTTTTTCTGTAATGAAAAAAAAAAAATAAATGAAAAAAAAAAACACACCGGGAATTTTGGATCCATGGAATTCTCTTGGCCTGAAGGTAAGCATGGCCCACAATTTTTAGAAATTTTTCTTTTGATTAGCTGATAATACCTCTGTGAATACGATTGAATGCAAATTAGAGAAGTAAATAACAGTCCTAAAACTCTCTTCGCTTTGTAGTTTACAGTTATTTTATAATTACCTCTGAAAGTCTAGGATTCGCGTTTTTTTATCCGAAAACTTTACCACCGATGATAACCTTATTCGGAGCTTTGTAGAATTCGCCTACATCTAGGTTACGCGTCTTTGACCTAGGTACTGGAGAGTGTTGCCATCCTTTTGCCCCTCTCTGATTGGTTCATGAGTTTTAAAAGTGATAACTAAGCGGGTGCTTTTGTTTGTTGTTGCAGCCCAGAGTGGGTTGTCGCCCTCGTCGACGCTGGAGCAGGAGCCGGCGGAGATCATCACGGAGGAGAACGTCTCCGGGCGGGCGAGCGAGAAGATCTCCTGCTCGGCGGTGACGGAGGACGAGGAGGGAACGGAGGACGACGACCCGGACAAGTCGCAGGGCGTCCGGGCGACGGCCGTCCTCACGCTGGCCGCCTCCACGGGGACGGTCGCCATCCTCGGCACCACCGCCCAGCCGCTCCCCACCGACCTCTCCGACACCACCCTCAACACCGTCCAGAACCTCGAGATCGAGGACTCGCACATCAACCACCTGGACCACACCCACGAGCGGCACATACCCCTCAAGGACAGCATCGACCTCGACGACAAGCACCAAGAGGTAACCCACTCTTTTAGTGTCAATTTTTCGTTGAATTCAACGCAAGTCCACTGAATGGACCACTAGACAAGGCATGAATTTCAGCATTCTGATACATGTTTCTTAACTAAAATTTCACGTAAAATACGATAAGCACAACGAAAATTATCGAAATCAACTCCTTCCGAAGATATTTGATGATTCTTGATGCGTGAATTCAAACCAACCGCTCATGAAAACTCAATGCTCTGCGTGATTCACATCGCACGCTAAACGTTATCATGAGCGTCTCTGCGATTAAAAAATCTGGCAACCTCCATCTTGACACTTTGGCTCAGCTATAGCAAATTACTTATAGTTTGAAAAACACATAGTGGGAAATGAACATCGCTCGATTGAGAAGCTTGCTGAAACCGTTGTAGTGCGCGATTTGACTCACGTAGAGCTTTGAGTTTCTTGTGAGCGGGCAGTTCAAATTCCTCGTAACCAATATAAAATAAAAATGTAAATATCTCCGTTAGGAGTTGATTTCAGTAATTTTCGTTGCGAGAATCGTGTTCTACGTGAAATTCTGAATAAGAAGCATGTATCAGAATGCTTAAATTCGCACCTTGTCTAGTGGTCCACTATTCATTGAATTCAACGCAAGTCCACTGAATTAAAAGTTACGGGGTATGTAGACATACCGTCCGTTGCGGGTGCAGAGGGCGGAACGCGGCAGGTATGTCTATGTTATGTTGGCGCGTATACGTAGTATACCGCCTTTGCGATCGTTTCGACCCCCCCCCTCGATACAATAACCGAGTCCCCTAGTTCCTTACCGAAAAGTGACTACCGCGAACTTCTAAGATTTTCCAAAGC